AGCTGACTAGGGGGTCAGCTTGTTAGGCTAACTACAGCCGGGAGGGCCTATAACCCGGCTGTAGGCGGGCTTTTTTCCCAAACTGATGAGCTCAGTGGTCCCATCAGTGCAGGGCAAGCGAGCTCTAGCCTTAGCGAGCGCAGTTTTTTCCCAAAGGGAAGAGAGCTCTCTGGCGATGGGGCCCCTAGAGGGGCCCAAGAGACAGATGAGCGAGTCTCCCTGCAGGGCAAGCGACTGGGAAGGCCAGGAGCGCAGTTTTATAGGCTTCATTAGAGCCTGCTGGGCTCCTTCGTCCCACCTTGGCTGCGGCCTAAAAACCCGGCCGCAGATGCCTGGTTCTTATCGGCGCTGGCCTCTTGGTCTCAGCGCCTCGCGTCGGGCCCGGCCGTGTCACACGCCGGCCGCTGCCCTTGGACTTTCTGACGAAAGGAGGCGGTGCGACAAGCTTGGGTCGCTCGTATCGGCGCCAACCGCGCCTCGCGTCGGGTCGTTGTTGATTCCTCGCCTCACGACCCTTGGACTTTGTTAGGGAGGGAGGCGGTGCGTTATACTTGGGTCGCTTATATCGGCGCCAACCGCGCCTCGCTCCGGGTCGTTGTTGATTCCTCGCCTCACGACCCTTGGACTTTCTGAAAGAAAGCGGTGGTACGACATGCTTGGGTCGCTTATATCGGCGCCAACCGCGCCTCGCGTCGGGTCGTTGTTGATTCCTCGCCTCACGACCCTTGGACTTTTTGAGGGGAGTGGGCGGTGCGTCATGCTTGGGTCGACCGTATCGGCGCCAACCGCGCCTCGCTCCGGGCCTTGTGGTCTCCTCGTCCCAGGCCCTTGGACTTTCTGAGGTTGGACGGCGGTGCGACACGCTTGGACCTTCCTATATCGGCGCCAACCGCGCCTCGGCTTCGGGCCTTGTGGTCTCCTCGTCTCAGGCCCTTGGACTTTCTGAAGTAAGACGGCGGTGCGACAAGCTTGGTTCTTACGGTATCGGCGCCAACCGCGCCTCGGCTTCGGGCCTTGTGGTATCCCCGCCTCAGGCCCTTGGACTTTCCGAAGGAAAGCGGCGGTGCGACAAGCTTGGGTCGCTCGTATCGGCGCCAACCGCGCCTCGCCCGGGCCGTTGTGGATTGCTCTTCCCACGGCCCTTTATTACCTGCGTGTCGTTGTTTGGTCCGGCACGCTGGTAGGGTAGCTTGGTTCTACAGGCTTGGCTTAGGTCCATGTTTTCTAACCTGTTCTGACTGCCTTTGTCCCCTTCCAGCCCTGAAGCCGGCTGGCTGCTACCTTAGGTCCAGGTTTTCTAGCCTGCTCTGACTGCCTTTGTCCCCTCTAGCCCTGGCTGCCGGCTTTGCAGCCCTCTCTGAGTGCCTTTGTCCCCTTCCAGCCTTGACTGTTGCCCTTTGCAGCCTGCTTTGAGTACTGTTAGCGTAGGTCCAGGTTTTCTAACTTACGGTCTTAGAGCCTGCTTTGAGTACTGTTGGCGTAGGTCCAGGTTTTCTAACTTACGGCCTTAGAGCCTGCTTTGAGTACTGTTGGCGTAGGTCCAGGTTTTCTAACTTACGGCCTTAGAGCCTGCTGTAACCAGTTGGTGCCCTGGCTGCCGGCTTTGTCGCCTGCTCTGTTCTAGGTCCATGTTTTCCAGCGTGCGTTCTTAGGGCCTGCCGGCCATGGAGTCCCTAGTAACAAGGGTGACCGGGCCTCGCCCGGGCCGTGATGGGCTGCTGATCGCACGGCCCTATAATTATCCTCGCCCTTCGTCTTGGGCCCGGGGCGGGGTTACTTGGCTCGACAGGCTTGGTTTAGGTTATACGTTGCTCTAGGTCCATGTTTTCTAACCTTCGTAGGCTCCTCTGACTGCCACCTTTGGCGGCTGCTGCCTTAGGTCCAGGTTTTCTAACCGGCGCTCTTAGGGCCTGCCGGCAGGGTCGCTGCCTACTCTGTTCTAGGTCCAGGTGTTCTAACCAGTTGGTGCAGTTGGAGGGCCCAAAGAGAAGGAAACCGGCGAGGGAGGGGCTGCCAAAAGCGTGTGAAGACAAATGGAAGGCCTGGCCAACTCTGAACCTCTGCTACTGCTACTAGGACTAAGCCAAGCTGATTACAGGAGGATGCAAAGCCAAGCTGATTGCAGGAGGATGTCCAAAGGTGGAAGCCCAACTGAGCAGACTTAGCCCCGGAAGTCAAAGAAGAGAATCGTGTGCCTGGAGTCAGCAGAACCCGCCAAAGAAGGGTAGGTATGCCAGAGAGGAATAGTAGCCCTCCGCAGCTGCACAAGCCAACTAGTCAAGCGGCCTACAAAGGCAACCATGACACCCAGTAGCTAGGAAAGGTGCAACCGTAAGCCCCGTGGCGGAAGGAGAAGGTAGCCCAGAAGTACTCTCAGCCCTGCCTAGCCAGAAAAGGCTCCTCCCTACAGCCTCGAAGGGAAAGTAGTCCAGTGACAAGCTCACTCTCTCGATCAACAGAGGTTCTGGCGCCCACAGCCTCGAAGGGAAAGTAGCTTAGCCAAAGCCACTCTTAAAGGCGGCTCACCAGCTACAGTCAAAGAGCTCAGAACCGCCGAACAAAACGAAAAGCCATCCCTGCTAGCCACCGCCGAAGGGTTCCCGCATGCAGAAGAAGGCCTGCCAGCCCTGTGTAAACCAGAGACAGAGAGGAATAGTAGCCCACTGCAGCTGCAGAAGCCAAGTAGGCAAACGTACTACCGAGGTGTCGGAAGCCCCCAGAGAGAAGGCCAAAGAGCTCAGAGCCGCCGAACAAAACGAAAAACCCCTCCTGTGCTAGCGTGTACCAAAAGGCTGCCATCACCGCACAAACGCCCTATCCGGTGGTCAGAGCTGCCGGAAGAGACGAAAAACCGTCCCTGCACTAGCCACAACCAAAAGACCCAAAGTTGGCAAAGGAAGGGGCTCGTTAGAACCGACCAACCTAACGCCGGGGTGGCAAAGGAAGGGACCCATTAGAGCCGACCGATCCAGCTGCTCTGATCAACCTACCGTCAAGGCAAGCGACCCTTCACGCGGTAGCGTCGTACTAGCTGAACATGTTCTCCTCTCGCCCTGAGGCAAAGGTACGTTGTTTGACGGGTGGGTATTCCCTCACGGTACTAGCTGCAGAAAAACAGGCCGAAGCCATCTAACCAACGGAGTCATCTCACCGGTTCCCCAGAACAGCCTGCCCACCGGAGGTTTCGTGGAGGGCAGTGACGAAAGCAGCACTAGACCCGTCAAAGCGGTAGGTAACTTGGCTAAGCCCGTAAGAGCTAGCCCCGTCGGTGATCTTACTGATAGGCCCTCTTTGGTCCGCAGACCCGACAACCATCCTCACCCTTCAGCCCGATGGCTGGCATGTCTGATCGGCAACCACCGCCACTAAGGCGACCTAAGATCGAAGCCTCAGACAACCTCACGTCACTACAGTACTCAAAGCAGGCTACAAAACATGGACCTAAGGTAGCAGTAGGCTACAAAGGCGGCAGCAGGGTTGGAGGGCAGAAGCAGTCAGAGAGTTAAGACCCCTCAAGGGCACCAGCTGGTTAGAAAACCTGGACCTTGCCGGCAGCCCCAAAGGAACGCAGGCTAGAAAACATGGACCTAGAACAGCAGGCTACAAAGGCGGCAGCAGGCTTTAAGAACGAAGGCTGGAAAACATGGACCTAAGCCAAGCCTGTAGAGCCAAGGAACGACAAGCCCAGCCTATAGAGCCAAGTTACCCCACCAGCGTGCCGGACCAAACAACGACACGCAGGTAATAAAGGGCCGTGGGGCGGGGAATCCACAACGGCCCGGGCGAGGCGCGGTTGGCGCCGATACGAGCGACCCAAGCTTTCTATACCAACCGCTTTCCTTCGGAAAGTCCAAGGGCCTGAGGCGGGGAAACCACAAGGCCCGAAGCCGAGGCGCGGTTGGCGCCGATACATGAGGAACCAAGCTTGACGCACCGCCCACTCCCCTAATAAAGTCCAAGGGTCGTGAGGCGAGGAATCAACAACGACCCGGAGCGAGGCGCGGTTGGCGCCGATATAAGCGACCCAAGCATGACGCACCGCCTCCCTCCTTCAGAAAGTCCAAGGGTCGTGAGGCGAGGAATCAACAACGACCCGACGCGAGGCGCGGTTGGCGCCGATATAAGCGAACCAAGCATGCCGCACCGCCTCCCTCCCTCAGAAAGTCCAAGGGTCGTGAGGCGAGGAATCAACAACGACCCGGAGCGAGGCGCGGTTGGCGCCGATATGAGCGACCCAAGCATGACGCACCGCCTCCCTCCTTAATAAAGTCCAAGGGTCGTGAGGCGAGGAATCAACAACGACCCGACGCGAGGCGCGGTTGGCGCCGATATGAGCGACCCAAGCTTGTCGTGCCGCCCTCTACCCTCAAAAAGTCCAAGGGCAGCGGCCGGCGTGTGACACGGCCGGGCCCGACGCGAGGCGCTGAGACCAAGAGACCAGCGCCGATAAGGACCCAGCATGCTGCGGCCGGGTTTTTAGGCCGCAGTGCAGTGGGACGAAAGAGCCCAGCAGGCTTTGATCCAAGCCCGTATCTAAAACTGCGCTCGCTAAGGCTAGAGCTCGCTTGCCCTGCGCTGATGGGGCCGCTAAGCTCATCAGCTTGGGAAAAAAAGGCAGGGCAACAGCCGGCGCCAGCCGGCTTAATATGTGAACCGGCTGTCACCTAGTTTTTTTTTTTTTTTTTTTTTTTTTTTTTTTTTTTTTT